AGAGGAACTGCTCAGCAGCCCACGCTGGCACACAGCCGAAACCTGGTCAGCGCACTGCTAATCCTCAGCACCAGAGTGCCATGTGTGCCACATGGCAGCAGCCTGGGCATGGCTGGCCTGGCAGCAGAGTTGGAGCACCCATCCCCTTCCCAGACCACCCGTCACCCTTCTCTGCCAGGCTGGGGTCTGGGGCTCACCATCTCCCACTCTGCACAGATGTAGGGCCCCGGCCGCAGGATCACCAGCAGCCCCAGCTCTGCTGTCAGGTCCAGGAAAGCTTCCACATCCCGGTTCCCCACAAAGTCATAAACCCCTGGCCATGGCTCGTGGTAGTTCCAAGGGACATAGCTGGGGTGAGAGGAAAGATCAGCACATGAGGGCTATGGGCACTGCAGTATTATGAGGAACCATCCCACAGGCTGGTCCCTCTGCTCCTGGGAACTCACTTCCAGCCTGATCAGAGGATGGCAAATGGGGATGCACTGGGACCAGCCCAGCCTCATCCATGTCTGGCAGGGGTGTCCTGTGAGCTGCAGTCCGCCCAAAGCAAAAGGTGACTGCGATTGGACAGCACCTTTGCCTCTGTCTCTGCTCCAAGAACCCCAGAGACACTGAGGGGCAGCTGTGGGCTGTGACCCGTCACTTACACCTGCACAGCGGTCAGCCCACTCATGTACATCTTGAGGAGCCGGTCCCTCCAGGCAGGGCGTGGGACACGGGCGTAGTGGATGCTGCCTGAGATGTAGCGGAAAGGAACACCATCCTTGCGGAAGCAGTCCTCCTCATAATCCAGCTCAAAGGAGCGTGACAGGGGGGAAGCCTGAGGCAGAGGGGCAGTGCTGGGAGTGGCTGCAGACCCTCCAGAAGCCCAGCCACCCCCTCCCATGCTGGGACAGGGACTGATGGGGCTGGTTCCTGGGGAGGACTCTCCATCCTCGCTGCAGGGACAAGGCAGACACCATGCTGTCCTGGGAGAGCAGGAGGGACAAGCAGGGCAGTCATCTACACCAGCTGGTGCCCCCCCTCGCTAATCAAACATCCTGCAGCTGGGCTTGCAGCGGTTCGTGGGATGCATGCAGCTGGGGACGGGTGCAGGGAGGGCAAGGGGGACATTGCGCAGCAGAAGGAGCCACAGCAGGAAGAGCAGAGACACGGCAGATCCGGGAGCCATCCCACCGGATCCCTCACAGCTCAGCCCCCACACCTCTCCCAAACTTTCCGCCCGTGTTCGCTAACCTGCGCGTGCAGGAGCCCCGCCGCCAGCAGCAGGGTAAGAGCCATCCTTGCTGGGCGCCTGACAGGCCCGGGAGGAGGGACAAAGGCGGACGTGGACACCCCCGTCACATGATCCTTCGTGACAGGTACCGGGCGCTTCTTCCAGGTCCTACAAGCAGGGAGCGGGAGCAGCAGCACAGCCTGGGGGGAACATCGCATAGCGGGTGAGCAGCTCTGGCCCCCTGTGCGTGGTCCCAGCTGCACATCACCCCTCCAGAGCCCACCCAGCATGGGATGTGGGCAGCCCACCACACCCCGAGCCGGTTCCGCACATCCGCGGTGCCCCCCGAGGTGGTGGGTGACACACGTGGCGGGACAAGGAGCCTCGGAAGTGTCACCACCAGTCAAAACGCCCTCGAGGGAGCTCAGCCCACTTGTTCCATCAGAGCTGGTGGAGCCTCGGTTACAGCCGCGGTTGCGGGGGTGCTGCTGCTCTCCCGCACCGCTCGGAGGCGGGGGATGCCGCCGCACCGCGTTCCACCCCGGTCTCAATGCGGAGTGAGCGCGCCGGGTCCCGAACGTGAGACCCCCTCCGCGCCTCAGCGGGCACCGGGCAGGCGGCAGTGCCCCGCCCGCTGGGTGACGCGACGGGTGACGCAACGGGTGACGCGCGGCGGCGGGCGATGACGCGGGCGGGCGATGGGGCAGGCGCTGTGCGTCTGCTCGCGCGGCACCGTCAGCTTGGGGGGAGCGCGGTACCTGGTTCTGCACCGGCTGGCGGAGGGGTGCGAGCGGGGCGGCATCGGCGGGGCTCGGTCACCGGGGGGGCTTGGGCGTGAGGGGATGCTCGGACATGGGGGGGGATGCTCAGGCATAGGGGATGTTCGGGCATGGGGGGTCTTGTGCACGGGGGGATGCTTGGGCATGGGTATGTTTGGACATTGGGGGATGCTTGGGCATGGAGGAATGGTTTGGCATGGGGCTGCTCGGGCATGGGGGTGCTTGTGCCCTGGGGGGTGCTTGTGCACGGGGGGATGCTCAAGCATGAGGGGGCTGCTTGGGTGTGGGGGTGATGCGTGCACATAGGGGATGGGGGATGAGGGTGTGCTCAGTTGTAAGAAATGTTTGGGCATGGGGGTAATGCTCAGGCAGGCAGGGTAAGCTTAGGTGTGTGTGGGATGCTTGAGCATGGTGCAAAGATGCTTGAACACAGGCAACGTTTGTGCTTGTTAGGAGTGATACTTGAGTATGGTGAGGGAAGATGCTTGAGCATAGTGGGTGCTTGTGTGTGGCAGAGTATTCTCATGCTAGGAGGCAGGGCTCAGTCATGCCCAGGAGTGGGTGTTTGGACCCATGGGAGTGGGGGCGATTGGACCAGTGGGGTTGTTCATGCAGAGAGGGGGATACTTTGGATGTCTGGCATGTGTCCCCAAGGTAGGGGGAATGTGCATGTTTGGGGTATTCTCATGGAGAGGGGTGCAGGCACCCACTGCCCTGTGCTCCCCTCCCCTTGGTGCTCACACTTGTGGTCCCGATGCAGATGCCACAGCAGTGTGACACTTGACCCACACTGTGCTCGTCACCTTGCAGGGGCTTCAGCTATGTGGACCTGGTGGAAGGCCTGCGGGATGGGCGCTTCTATGCCCTGAAGCGCATCCTATGCCATGATAAGGAGGACCACCAGGCTGCCCTGCACGAGGTGGAGATGCACGGCCTCTTCGACCACCCCAACATCCTGCGCCTGGTGGCCCATTGCATGGTGGAGAAGGGTGCCAAGCACGAAGCCTGGCTCCTCCTGCCCTACGTGAAGGTGACGGGAGGTCCCCCAGCTGTCCCCGACCCCCTTGACACCAAGAGCAGCTGTGGTGACCGTCTGCTTGCATTTGCCAGGGGGGGACCCTCTGGAGTGAGGTGGAAGCACTGCGAAAGAAAGGGACCTTCATGCCAGAGCAGCGAATCCTTCTCATCCTCCATGGCATTTGCAGTGGGCTGCAAGCCATCCACAGCAAGGGCTATGCACACAGGTGGGGGCTGGCAGCCTCGGCTGGGGGGTTGGCAGGGGGTTGAGTGGGCAGTCAGTGACATCCATCCGCACAGGGACCTCAAGCCCACCAATGTGTTGCTGGATGAAGATGACCGGCCTGTACTGATGGACCTGGGCTCCATGAACCAAGCTCGCATCGAAGTCAGCAACTCTCGGGAGGCCATGGCCCTGCAGGTGGGTTGTCTGGGACATCACCCCGCCAGCCCGTCTCGTTCCTGGGCCCTTCATCCTCACCCTCCTCTCTGCAGGACTGGGCTGCCCAGCGCTGCACCATCTCCTACCGTGCCCCCGAGCTTTTCACGGTGCCAAGCCAGTGCATCATAGATGAGCGCACAGATATCTGGGTAAGGGTCTGGACCCCTGGTCCCTGTCCCCCACTGCTGTGGGACAGCTCTGACCCCCCACCATGCTCCAGTCCCTAGGCTGTGTGCTGTACTGCATGATGTTTGGGGAGGGCCCCTATGATGCCATCTTCCAGAAGGGCGACAGCGTGGCTCTGGCAGTGCAGAACCCCATCACTGTGCCCTCCACAACCAGGTGAGGGGCTGAGGAGGGTAACCCTGATCCCAGGCAGCCTCCTGTGTTGCGCACCACATGGACACCCACCTCACCATTTGTCTTCCAGGTACTCGGCTGCCTTGCAGCGCCTGCTCTCATCCATGATGACAGTGAACCCCCAGGAACGACCCAGCATAAACGACATCCTCCACCAGCTGGAGGGGCTGCAGCCAGTGCCAGCGGGACAGGACACCACACAGATCTGAGCCTGTCCCACCCCAAAGCGGCGATGCACCTGAAGCTGACCCAGGGGAAAAGCAGCTGCCCCATGGAGCCATTGCAGAGAGGATTGCTGTGGTCAGGGGAGAGCTGCTGCTCTTTGTTGGGATGTGTTGTATTTGGAGTGTTTTGTGCCCTGGATGCTGCTGCATGGGACTTGGTCTGTGTTCCAGAACTGTGGGCATGTGACCTGCTGCTAAACACAGGGCCCTGGCTGCCCCGGGGGTTACAGAGGAGTGTGCTGTGGGACCTCCCCAGGGTGATGGCAGCAGTGGCCCTGCAGTGCTGCAGTGCCCCAGGAGGGCTGCTCCCTGCCGGGGCAGAGCTGCAGTTGGGGTCCTGGTGCTGTGCTGCAGCGAGGCAGGGGGTTCCAGCACCTGCTCTGCCACTGCTCCCACATTGCCACAGGCACCAACATTGCCTTGTGTTTGGAGTAAAAGATGTTCTTGCAGAGGTGGATGTGTCCCTGTCTACGGGGAGGGGATCCCGCCAGGAGCATTAGGAGAGCAGGGCATGCTGTCTGGGTTAAGCAGCCAAGCGTTGCTGGAGGGGAAGGACAGTGGAGGACAGCTAAGGACAGCCCCACTGGGCCAGCACAGCAGAGCATTAGCAGTAAGCAGGGAAAGTTAATCCATGGCCCCAGCACGCTCCTGATGGGAGTTAACACAACTCTGCAGCTGCAGCCATGCACTGCTGTTGAGAGCGTCTGGGGCTGGGCACTACAAGCAGGGGCACAGCATGGGCAGGCAGTGGCAGAACAGGCAGAACTTCTCTGGTGCCCAAGGAGAGGGAGGTGGGTGCCCAGGCCAGGAGCTGCCAGAGCCCTGCCGCAGTGGATGGGAGTGAGCAGAGCCTGCGGACACCCCACAGCACAACAGCACCCTTGTCTGGAAATGCTCACTGGGACGTGCAGCAGATGGGCTGCCCATGGACGGGGAGTAAAAAAAGAGATGCAGACAAGCAGTTTCACAGGGAGTGCTCCCCACCTTTAATCCTCTCAACACAACACAGCAGTAAAGCAGCCACGGGGTTTATGCCATGCTGGATGCTATTGTGGGGTGCACCTGCTGCACCACAGAGCCAAGCACATTGCTTGTCCTGCACTTTGGCCACAGGGACAGGGGTGTCAGGCTGCCCCCACTGCTTCAACCACTATCCTTCCAGATAGGCCCTCAAATCCTCAGGCTGCAAACAGGGAGAAGTCTCAGCAGCTACCAGTATTTTCTTGCTCAGGCTAAACCTGCTCCCCTGAGCTCCAGGGTACAACATGGGGCCATGTACCACAGGGTATACACCACATAAGGAAGCAATATCCACCACCAGCTGGACCAGTGAGTGGGGTGGGATGTGTGCCATGGCCCTCAGAGTGGACCCAGGGGCTCTTACCTGCACAGGGAGCAAAGCTGTAGCTGGGAGAGTACTGGGAGGAAGCATAGCTGCACCAGCGGCAGAGCTGAAGCACTCACCACACACCTGACCTGGCAAGAAACCGAGACAGCTGGGGGGTTAGTGGGAGACATGAGGGCTCTGAGATGGTTTATTGCAAAGGGTTTCTGCAGGTAACACAGGGAAGGAGCACGGTCCTTGTTGGTGGGGGCTTCTCTACTCCTCACCCTCCTCTTCATCCTCGTAGGAGTCCAGGCCCACCTCCTCATAATCCTTCTCCAGAGCAGCCATGTCTTCCCGGGCCTCAGAGAACTCCCCTTCCTCCATGCCCTCCCCCACGTACCAGTGCACGAAGGCTCTCTTGGCGTACATCAGGTCGAACTTGTGGTCCAGGCGAGCCCAGGCCTCGGCGATGGCCGTGGTGTTGCTCAGCATGCAGACGGCGCGCTGTACCTTGGCCAGGTCCCCTCCTGGCACCACGGTGGGAGGCTGGTAATTGATGCCTACCTTGAAGCCCGTGGGGCACCAGTCCACAAACTGGATGCTGCGCTTGGTCTTGATGGTGGCGATGGCGGCGTTGACGTCCTTGGGCACCACGTCACCACGATACAGCAGGCAGCAGGCCATGTACTTGCCATGGCGAGGGTCGCACTTCACCATCTGGTTGGATGGCTCAAAGCAGGAGTTGGTGATCTCGGCTACTGAGAGCTGCTCATGGTATGCCTTTTCTGCAGAGATGACAGGGGCATAGGTGGCCAGTGGGAAGTGGATGCGAGGGTAGGGCACCAGGTTGGTCTGGAACTCGGTCAGATCAACATTCAGGGCCCCATCAAACCGCAGTGATGCTGTGATGGATGAGACGATCTGGCTAATGAGTCTGTTCAAGTTGGTGTAGGTCGGGCGCTCGATGTCCAGGTTCCTGCGGCAGATGTCATAGATGGCCTCATTGTCCACCATAAAGGCACAATCTGAGTGCTCCAGGGTGGTATGTGTGGTGAGGATGGAGTTGTAGGGCTCTACCACAGCAGTGGAGACCTGTGGTGCTGGGTAAATGGAGAACTCCAGCTTGGACTTCTTCCCATAGTCAACGGAGAGTCGCTCCATCAACAGGGAGGTGAATCCGGAGCCGGTGCCACCTCCAAAGCTGTGAAACACGAGGAATCCCTGGAGGCCTGTACACTGGTCAGCCTGCAGAGAGAAATGTGAAATTGCTCTGAGATGGATTTATTTGTGAATACCAGATGGTTCAGAGGCCCTTCAGGACCTGGTCCAACCCTGCCATGGGCTGCTCCAGATCCCTCTCAGGGCACAGCAGGGTTTGCAGTGTGCTCTGAGCCCAAGCACGATGATGGATCTCAGCCAGAGGGGGACATGTACCCCCTCTGCAGTCACCTACCAGCTTCCGGATCCTGTCCAGCACTTGGTCGATGATTTCCTTGCCGATAGTGTAGTGCCCACGGGCGTAGTTGTTGGCAGCATCCTCCTTGCCGGTGATCAGCTGCTCTGGGTGGAAGAGCTGACGGTATATTCCAGCCCGAACTTCATCTGGGGGAGACAGGGGAGAGTTGAGCCTGGCAGAGGCTGTTGGTTTGAGCTGTGCGCCAAGCAGAGGAGCATGTGTGAGCACCCATCCCTCATCCATGCTCTGCCTGCCAGGGCCATGCTCTGCCTGCCAGGGCCATGTCCAAGGACCCACAAGTCACCAGGGCCACCACCAGCATCAGGTTTCTCTGGCAGGAGGAGGCTGTCACCTCCCTGCACAGGAGCTCAGGTTCTCCCACTATCGGGAGCTGCAGCGGCACAGTGGGAGCTGCAGTTCCGGTTGGGCTGGTTTCTTTCTGTGCACATGTGGTAGCGGAGACTACCAGCACCGCTGCCTCTAGGACACTTCAAGAACAAAAGCTGGTGCTCAGGCTTGTGGCTTTTCCTGGGGAAAGAAGGGCCCTCATGTTGAACCCAGTACAGGATGCTGACAGCAGACCACAAGTACCAGCTGCTTGCTACCCACCCATGGGTGCACCCCAGGCCATGCAAACTCCAGCACTCACCGATCACAGTGGGCTCCAGGTCCACAAAGATGGCCCGTGGGACGTGCTTCCCAGCCCCGGTCTCACAGAAGAAGGTGGTGAAGGAGTCATCCCCTCCACCGATGGTTTTGTCGCTGGGCATCTGCCCGTCCGGCTGGATGCCGTGCTCCAGGCAGTACAGCTCCCAGCACGTGTTGCCCATCTGGACGCCGGCCTGGCCAACATGGACGGAAATGCACTCGCGCTGCGGAGGGGGAGGAAGGGTCAGATCCCAGCATAGCTCTGTCCTACCTACCTCAGCAAGGATCTGCCTGTGCCAGTGCCACACAGCCACCAGCATAGGAGCTGCCAGTGGTCCCAGAGAGCACATGCTCCTTTGGGTGACCTCCTGCATGCTCCTGAGGGGCCCAACAGGGCTCTCATTGTCCTCAGCCTTGGATAGGGATCTTGCTGGGTTGTGAGCCAGCTCTGGTGTCCCTCCTGCTGGGGTCCACCAACCCCAAGGACTCTGGCCAGGGCTGTCCTCCAGCAGCACATGGAGCAGAGGTGGCCCAGGTCCCCTGCACCCGCCACACTACCACCTCCTTCCCCAGACTACAGCAGCCCAGCAAGGTGCTCAACTGATGGGGAGTACGTACTTAACCCATGCAGTGCAAACAGTATAGGGAAACCCCCCTACTTGATTCTCCAGAGCCAGGTAAGCACTCAGCCTCCTGGGGTGAGGGGTCTTGGGAATGCAGGGGCAGTGGGTTGCAGCCAGGGAGGACTGGGGGTGAAGCCTAGCAGTCTCCAAGGCAGCACAGATATACTTCAAGCTACGCAGTCCCATCCTGTGCGGCAAAACCATGTGGGCAGAAGGCTGTGAGCTGGAGATGTGCCTCCTGCACTCCCATCCTGCTGGTGCAGGCCTGCTCCACTACCCCTGGCATCCATCCTCTGCTAGCCCTAGCATCCCTGCTCCCGGAGGAGGAGGAGAACAGGACTCTGCCCACGGGTCCTGGGGCTCCTTGCTCCTTCATTCCTCGACAGCACAGCGCTGCGAGCTGTGATGGGGTCCGTGCCCCGTCCCAGTGCCAGCGGAGGAGAAGTCCTCCTGCCCCACCGGGAGGGCCGGGGGCAGCCTCAGCCCACCGGGAGTGGGGACAGGCCCGGGGCAGGGTCCTCAGTAGAGCACGGTCAGCGCTGCGGCAGGCGAGGCGCTGCGATACACCTTCTGGCACGGCCCCGGCCCCTTCCCGAGCAGCTAAATATAGCCCCGGCCCCAGGCGAGGGCAACAGTGACTGCCCAGTTTAAAGAGCTGCCCCGGCCCGCTTCGCCGCTGCCAGAACCCGCGGGCAGGGACGGGACGAGAGGGCCGGGACCCCCACGCTCGCCCCCCGCTGCCAGTCTCGACGGGGCGCCCTGTGCCGCGGGGGGAGCCCCGCCGAGTGCCCAGTCCAGGCTCCCGGTGCCCGACTGACGCCTCCAGCCCCGGCAGCTGTCCCCGTCCGTCCGCGGCCACCATTCCCCGACGGACAGATCACCCCCTCCATCCCCAGCGCGCCCCGCACTGCGGAGGCGGGGAGGACCTGGGCGCCCGGAACCGTGGCGGCGAGGGAGGACCGGATAGGAGCAGCGGGGGGGTAGCGGCTGCCCAAGGGCTGGGGCCGGTAGGGCTGCCCAAGGTCACGGCGGGGAAGGAGAGGGCGCATCGCGGCTGTTTCCCGGTACTCGGTGCTCGGGCTGGGGGAAGCTACCGAGCGCCCTCCCCGCACCGTGCCCGCCGCCGTGTCCGCACTCACCATGTTGCTGCTGGGGGTCCGGGCTGTCCCGGCGGCTCTGTGCGGCGGGGCTCAGCGCGGAGCTGCGGCTGCTGCAATCCTCTCCGCAGCGCCTTCTTATAGGTGGGAGGGGCTCTCTGCCGCCGTCCCCCCTTCATTTGGATACATTTGCATGCCGGGCTGGAGTAACCCCCTCGGGGGGAAGCGGCAACCTGCCTGGGGCTCTCCCGGCTCCGGAGGAACCTCCAGGATGCAGGGCCCGGGGTTGCTCTTTCTCCTTTTCAGGGAGAGAAGCAGGAGGCTCTCGAGCTGCAGATCTAGGTTCTAGCCCTCCGTGGCTACTGGCAGTGCTCAGCCACCAGGACCCGGAGCAGCTACTGCAGCCCCTAACCTGCACCACAATGCAGCCCCCCCTGGAATTTAGGTACACCCCGAGATCACCTGAGCCTCTAGAATAGGAGAAAGGAGGAGAAACATGTCAGAGATACGTGTCAGGCTCTGGAGCTCAGAGTGCCCCGCAGTCTCCCTTCACCTTCAGGAACCTCTGGCCAGGGGCTGCCCTTCTCTCCCGGTGGGGACAGGCAGGTAGTGCCGCACATCTAAGGCTGCAGATCAGCACGGCAAATCTGGGCTGGGGAGCTGTCCCTGCTGCAAAAAAGGGTCATTGCAGCCCGTCTGCTGTTAATGGTTTGTGAGTACGCTCAGAGAAGCAGCTCTGTTTCAGCCTCAGCTAGCACAGCCTCCCCAGCCAAGGCTGATCCTGCTGCGGAGGATGTATGGACCACCAGCCTGGCTGCTGGCTCGGAGAAAAGCAGAGCCCAGAGCCTCAGCACTGCACACTGTGTGCACAGGGACAGAGGGCTCTGTCCTTGCTGCCCATGGGGATGGGGCTCTGCTGCTCAGAAGCATGCCAGGAGACACTGCTGTGTCTCTCTGCAGCAAGGTGCAGCGCAGAGGTGCAGGATAACCTCTAGAAAAAAGGTAATAGGACACAGTTCCAATTCCTACATGCTTGCAGTGACAGAGCCAAGCCTTTATAAAAACATAGGGAGATGTCTGCAACGGGATTACTCCTAGAGAAGTGGGATCCTTCCTTGTCCTACACTTCAGTGTCAGTGAGGAGCAGATCAGACCAGTGCCCAGCATGAGGGGCAGCAACTTCTGCCCTGGTGCAGCAGCAGGCATCACGCCATCTGAGCCCAGCGCTTTGGTCATGGGCAAGGGAAACAGTGCCAGCAGCCCTGCTCAGTGGGACAAGTGTCTGGCTGTGCTCCAGCAGCCCTGGGCTGGCTCTGCTTCCCCCTCCAGCTGACACAGCTGCATGCTGGGAGGAGGAGTGCAGGGGAGGACAGCCCCCAGGGGTCAATATAGCTGGAGCATTAGTGGTAAGCAGGGAAAATTAATCTCTGGACCCAGAATGCAGGATAATGGCTAACAGAAATCTCCAGTTTACAGCTGGAGCCAAGAGCTGCTGTATGGGCTTCTCACTGCCAGGGAGGGCAGGGAGAGAGCTCAGCATGGGGACAATGTAGAAGATGGGTGAGGGGGTTGGAATTAGATGTTCTTTAAAGTACTTTCCAACCCAAACCATTCTATGATTTTATGACCTGGGCAGGCAGAGTGGGGCCACATGCCCCATTTGGATGGCAGAGCACTGGCAGAGCCAGGCTGAGAGCAGGCAGAGGTACTCCAAACAGACCCCATGCCTGATCTAAGTGATTCTGTCATCACATTATCAGCAGTCCTCCAGATCCAGATGTTCATCATTGGGCACTGCTATAGAGAATGCCATGTATCCTGGCCATATCCCACTGGTACAAGGCTCTTACCTATGTAGGGAGTAAGCTGTAGCTGAGCAGAGTGCTGGGAGGAAGCATAGCTGCACCAGCAGCAGAGCTGAAGCACTCACCACACACCTGACCTGGCAAGAAACCGAGACAGCTGGGGGGTTAGTAGGAGACATGGGGGCTCTGAGATGGTTTATTGCAAAGGGTTTCTGCAGGTAACACAGGGAAGGAGCACGGTCCTTGTTGGTGGGGGCTTCTCTACTCCTCACCCTCCTCTTCATCCTCGTAGGAGTCCAGGCCCACCTCCTCATAATCCTTCTCCAGAGCAGCCATGTCTTCCCGGGCCTCAGAGAACTCCCCTTCCTCCATGCCCTCCCCCACGTACCAGTGCACGAAGGCTCTCTTGGCGTACATCAGGTCGAACTTGTGGTCCAGGCGAGCCCAGGCCTCGGCGATGGCCGTGGTGTTGCTCAGCATGCAGACGGCGCGCTGTACCTTGGCCAGGTCCCCTCCTGGCACCACGGTGGGAGGCTGGTAGTTGATGCCTACCTTGAAGCCCGTAGGGCACCAGTCCACAAACTGGATGCTGCGCTTGGTCTTGATGGTGGCGATGGCGGCGTTGACGTCCTTGGGCACCACGTCACCACGATACAGCAGGCAGCAGGCCATGTACTTGCCATGGCGAGGGTCGCACTTCACCATCTGGTTGGATGGCTCAAAGCAGGAGTTGGTGATCTCGGCCACTGAGAGCTGCTCATGATAAGCTCTCTCAGCAGAAACTACAGGAGCGTAGGTGGCCAGTGGGAAGTGGATGCGAGGGTAGGGCACCAGGTTGGTCTGGAACTCGGTCAGATCAACATTCAGGGCCCCATCAAACCTCAGTGATGCTGTGATGGATGAAACAACTTGGCTAATGAGTCTGTTCAAGTTGGTGTAGGTCGGGCGCTCGATGTCCAGGTTCCTGCGGCAGATGTCATAGATGGCCTCATTGTCCACCATGAAAGCACAGTCTGAATGCTCCAATGTGCTGTGTGTGGTGAGGATGGAGTTGTAGGGCTCTACCACAGCAGTGGAGACCTGTGGTGCTGGGTAAATGGAGAACTCCAGCTTGGACTTCTTCCCATAGTCAACGGAGAGTCGCTCCATCAACAGGGAGGTGAATCCAGAGCCAGTGCCACCTCCAAAACTACGAAACACGAGGAATCCCTGGAGGCCTGTACACTGGTCAGCCTGCAGAGAGAGAGGAGTCCTCTAAGCACTGACTTTGCCTAAGAAGTCACAAGCTTTTGCTTTGGTAGCCACAAATCTCTCCCAGGGCACAGCAGGACTTGCCCCATGCTTCCACCCCAGCAGGATGCTGTAGTCCAGCCCTGGGGACATATACCTCCTCCATGGTCACCTACCAGCTTTCGGATCCTGTCCAGCACTTGGTCAATGATCTCTTTGCCAATGGTGTAGTGCCCACGGGCGTAGTTGTTGGCAGCATCCTCCTTGCCGGTGATCATCTGTTCAGGGTGGAAGAGCTGACGGTAGACTCCTCCCCGAATTTCATCTAGAAGAGTTTGGTACAATGTCAGAGATTTTCTAATGGGGGAAATGTGGTAGGAGCCACCCTGGGAGTGTCCTGCAGTGGGCTGCTCCCAGAGAGTGACCACAGTCACTGTCCAACTTTGGTGAACTCACCAATCACAGTGGGCTCCAGGTCCACGAAGATGGCCCGTGGGACGTGCTTCCCAGCCCCGGTCTCACAGAAGAAGGTGGTGAAGGAGTCATCCCCTCCACCGATGGTTTTGTCGCTGGGCATCTGCCCGTCTGGCTGGATGCCGTGCTCCAGGCAGTACAGCTCCCAGCACGTGTTGCCCATCTGGACGCCGGCCTGGCCGACATGGACGGAAATGCACTCGCGCTGTGGAGGGGGAGGAAGGGTCAGATCCAGGCTGGGACCACATGCCCAATCACTGCAGGTGGTGCACAGCCCAGGCTCCTGGCAGCTTGTGCAAGCCACATTGCCCTGCAGCTTCAGTGCCTTGAGTCCATCCCAGCTTGCTGCCCTCTCCCATACCTGGTGTTTTGCCTCCCATCACTGCACTGCCCATCTCAGGCACCCAGGGAGATGTAGACTTATCTGCTGGAGCCCACTACACCAGGCTAGCACATTCTCTGGACTGCTCCACCCACAGCCTTGGAAAGCACCCAGTGAGGATCTTCTGCATTGCCTGAACACCCACAACACTTAGGGGCTGGAGCCCTGCAGCAGCTGGTATAGCCCCCATTGCTATCTAACATTAGGGCTGCAGGTTGACATGACAGAGCATCACTTGGACTCTGGGAGCTGAGGAGGTGACAGCACTGAGGATGGGTGCCTGGCAAGGAGAGGGATTTGCAGCAGTGAATGGTTGCCACACTCTGAGGCTCAGCTTCCCTAAATTAGTTCTGGAGGAGGAGGCAGCGTTAACTGCACTTCCTATCTGAACCGAAGAGCTAAGGTGGGAGGGCCCCCCGTGCTCAGGGCTTCAAGGGTAGCCTCAAGTCCCTCAGAAGAAGTCAGGCTGAGGTGGGCTCTGCAGCCTCACTCCCTCCAGGTGAGGCACCGCAGCACCTGCAGTCCTTTCGACAAGAACCAAAATATCCAGTGCCTCAGCCCTGCTGTTGCCAAGGACTTGGATGCGTCATCAGGCACAATCAAGGCAGAGGAGCATCCAAACCAAACCGGATCTCCAGAGCCATGGGTGCCCCGCTGTGAGTCAGCTGGCAGGTCGCCACACCAGCTATTTTGCGCTCTGGAGCACGGCAGTGACTGCTGTCTGTGAAAGTTGCACAAGTTGCAGCAGGTCCTGGCACTCTGCACTGAGAGTGCTTTTGGTGCTGCATTTCAGAGGCAGCAGTGATGGTGAGGGATGACAGAAAAATAAGCCCTTGATACCCACGGTGCGAGGCAAAAATCCATCTCCCCACCTTCTCCAAAGCTGAGGTGAGAAATGACACCGTGCTTACCCTCCTCCCTCCCACCCGCAGGTGCATAAAGGTTTTGTAACACAGGGGCCAACACTAAGTCCTGAGGAAGCTCCAAAATCCTCGGCAGAAGTGCGCAAGCATTTCTGGGTGACCACAGGAAAGACAAGAAAGGACCCCTCCCTGGCCAAGGGAAGAAGTGAATCAGAGGTGGGGGGTGAAGGGGGTTACGTTGGTCACCGCACTTCATCCACCAACATGCAGCAGCCAAGACTGGCGTTGTGGGACTCAGGGCTGACAGTAGGCTGCACAGAGCCCAGCACTCCCAGCACCACCGGGGACCCAGCAGAGCTGGTTACCAGCCGGCAGTCTCTGCCTTCCTCACAGCATGGCTCAGGGAGGGCAGGGAGCACGGT